CAGGCTGCCTGGTCCTCCTGCGGGTCTGGGGTGGGGGGGCGGGCAGGCCGCCTGGTCCTCCTGCGGGTGTGCGATGGGGGGGCGGGCAGGCCGCCTGGTCCTCCTGCGGGTCTGGGGTGGGGGGCCGGGCAGGCAGGAGGCAGCTAGTGCCTGGCCAGAGGGCCCTGCTGAATTTCTGAGTTACTCTGTGTGCAGGAAAGGGTAGCCCTTGAATAGGTAGCTTCAAGAAGGACCGTATGAATTGTAGCTGGAAGAATCTAGACTACTGAGCATGTATTGATCTGGATTCTCCTAACTAGAAACCAGTTTTTACAGACAGCCTGACGGTTTTACACCGGTGGGTGGGAAGTGTGCGTGGAGCGGGTGACACGGAGGTCCGGGACTGTTTTGGATTTGCCTCGGTGCTTGTGTGTTCGCAGGTGTGCCTTCTTCCTGTGCATCCTCCTCCTCCCTGGAAAGCATGCTTCTGTTTAACAGTCCTGTGGGTCCTGGCACTCCCACCATTGAGGACCTGACGTGGCATTCGGCCTTCTTCAGGAAGCAGATGGGCGCATCCTTGGCCCCGTCGCTGAAGAAACTCCATAAACGAGACCCGCTGAGACCCGGGAGCATGGGCAAGGCCTCCCTTCGACGGCCGGGCCTGGCCGGGGGGCGGGGCGGGCTGGGGGCCCCAGGCGGCTTTCTGAACTTTGAAAAGACCTTTGCAGATGCACGCTTCCTATCATCAGCACAAGAGAAAAATGGGGTTGCGACGCCAGACCATGGGAAACGGAGAGACAATCGCTTTCATTGTGATCTCATTAAAGGCGACTTGAAGGACAGGCCTTTGAAACCGAGTCACAAGCCTCTCAGGTCCACAGATTCATCCCAGAGGCACCCGGGCAGCCCCCGCGTTGCCACTCTGCCCGGGGCGGGGCAGTGGGCGCCCGGAGCCCGGAGGGAGGGCGTGCCCAGGTGCAATGGCTCCCTGCTCCGAGCCAGCGGTTCCCAGACTGCAGCCCAAGTGCCTACCACACCTGCCAGCCCGGTGAAAAACTGGGGCGGATTCCGGATTCCAAAGAAGGGGGAGCGGCCGCAGCAGGGAGAGGCCCCTGAGGGGCCTGGCCACCAGCACACAGGCTGCCCGTACCTCAGCCTGGGCCGGGCACCGGCCAAGGACCGGGCTAAGAGCAAATTAAAATCTGACCACGAGAATGACGGGTACGCCCCGGACGTCGAACTGAGTGACTCTGAGGGCGAAGCATCGGAGAAGAAATGTCCACAGGCCAGCGGCCCCCTGGGCAGGAGGGCGGACTTCATCCGGAGGAGCATCTTGGCCTCCTGATGGCCGAGGGGGACAGACCCCCCGATTCCCGGGCTACACACACATTTACTTACAATTCAGATTGGGTTTTTTTTTTTTTTCAGAGTCATTTATAAATCACTGTTGTGAGAAGTTTGTGTTATTAGCAACTTGTTGAGAAAACAGAAGAGTAGACTAACGTAGGACAGCTAAGGTCAGAAGCTGAGTGTTAAGGGTTACAAGAAGGCAAGGCTTCAGTAAGCCTCTGCATACTGTGTTTCTTGCCCTCTGCATTCTTCCAAAGCACAAACTCTGGGTTCCCTGAATGTACAGAATCCTATCTAGTTCTGCAGAATGGACTGACACCCTGTGGAGACCAGGGCGCCACGCACAGCCCTGAGGTGTGTTCCTAGGACTGGTCGATTTTACAATCACTCTGGCCCCCAAGGCCATTCTTGTTGCATTGACAGTGTGCAGGCCGCAGCTCTGGGGCCCGCCTGCACCCCGCGTCAGGAGAGCTGGCAGGAAGGGGGCTTCTGGAGGGCTGGGCGTGGGCCATGCCACAAGGCTTGGGGAGCCAGGGAAGACGCCGACGGCCCCACTGCCGGGAGCCCGCGCGTGGCCCGAGACAGTTGTCCAGTGCCCTCCAGTCCTTGGCCACGGCCCGCACCTTTGCCTTCTGCCCTCCAGTGGTCGTCCACGGCCGCTCACTCCCCAGAGCCAATCACTAGTGCACATCAGGGAACCCGGGCCTCCATCACGAATGGGTTCCCTGAGGAAACAAGAAGTGAGGTTATATTTTAAAACTATAGAAAGGCAATAAGTTGCAATAAGCTCTTACCATTGACCTAGTTATATAGACAAGAGGTTGAAATGCACCCAGGAATAGGTTTTTGGGGTCAGAGTTCTTATTTGTAACTTGGACTTTCTAATTGCAAATGGCAATAACTAGTAAGTTATCAGCAATAATAAGTTTAGCATTAAATTTGAGAACAATGTTGTAGTGCATATGTATTCAGAAACTGGGTAGTGTTAAGGTCCTGTTAATTTTCTTTGGAATTCAATGTCGTTGTGAGTCAAACTTACGGGAAGCTTAAGCAGCAATGAGATTTAGAAGTACGGGCGTCGGGAGCCAGCCCAGCGTCCCCCACACTGCCCCACAGTCAGTCAGTGCCAGCGCTTGCACTCCGGGTTCATTTACATGTCTGTCCTCATTGGCAGCGCGGTTCTGCTGCTTAGGAGCGATGCTCCGAGCACTGTCGTTCACTGTCGCGTCTTCCAGGTGACTGTCAACCGCAAGGCTTTGTGAGCTCTGTCTTGCTATGCAAGTTTTATCAGATGATTGGATAGCAGATCTGGTGCATCCCTGTTGTGTGTTTGACATGTTCAAACCAAGTCTTCACTTTGCCAAGTACACTGTAGCTCATTCAGGGGAGGGGAAAGACTGGTCTTTAGACGGACTGCTTTTGAGCCCTGAGGCTCATTTCAAGAGACTGCTGTCCTAAGTAGCTGTTGCTGTAGGCGGCGGAGGGTCTTATCCAAGTTGCACGTTTGCTAGTAGCATAATTTATGGATTTTTTTTGTAATTTTTGCATACGAGCAAAACCCTTCTGGACAGAGGAGAAGGTTGGACTCCACCTGCAGCTGTCTTTTGATGAAGCTCTCGGTGAGAGGAGGGTTGTAGAGGGGTAATCTGTGAAGCCATAGAAAGAAAATCTAAATTAATGCAGTGTGTGGCCTCTCACCACTCAGAGGCACCAGACTCATTTGCACTATTTAGGAATGCTAGTTTTGTGCAAAAAAAAAAAAAAATGCCTTACCTGTTTTCCCCCACATTTAGGTTGAAAAGCTTTCAAATGTTCCAAGTTATGCTGAACCAAAAAACAAAAGAAAAAACCCACAAAAAAAAAAACAAAACACAAAAATAAAGTCCATCCTTTATAGTCCTGCTCTGAAATGCCAGTGGTGTGCAGTCTCTGGACAGCAGGTGACAGCTTTGTCGCGGACAGCCCTGCCGCCGCCGCCCAGCTGCCCACTGCCTTCTATTAGCATTGGAACCGTTGGCTTTTTCTTTTTCCCTTGTGCATCCTGACCAAGAAATACCTTTGATTATGATCAATGTATTATGTCAAAATGTAGGCTAGTTAAGCTTTTGTAAAGTTGCCTGGAGTGTCATTTATTAGGTTATAAACACAGGACTTAAATGACGGTTTTATGTGTTGTGTACAAATCTAAATTATTTTAAAATGGACAAACTTGTCATTACATTTGTAACCTTGTACAGAGGATTTTTCACTATGTGCCTAGCTTGGTGTCCATTCAACTGAATTGAAAAAAAAAAAGAGGTGCATGAAGAGCTACAAATCAGAAATTAATTAAACAAAGTCTATGTAGAGATGACTATTTTATATTACACGGCCCAGTCCTGTATTTATTTCTACCCCCTTTTTGAAAGTATTTATAAAACTAGTTGAGGACAACTGTATTTTTTGTTGAACTATTTAGTAGAATTGTGCCTTTTTGTCTGTATGTGAATAAATGCTGTACATTTTGCAATACAGTCACGTCTTTGGGAATCTGATGTGCTGAGGGCCTCCACCACCCACGGCGGGCCGGGCATGGAAAGGTCCTGCCAGCATAGTTCTGGGTCTGGAAAGATCCAATGGTTGGAACAATCAGGCGTTAGAGACAGAAAAGCCCGTGATTCTGGTCCTATAAAGAAAGAGACGGTCTTCATGGTGGTAGACAGCAGGGGCCGCGTGCAGAGCTGTGGTGTGGACACAGGTGGCCAGCGTCGACTTGGACACGAGAGACAAGATGCCGCGTGAGGGAGGTGGGAAGGCTGCACTCACAAAACGCCTTTCAACTAGTTTTCAAGGTGACTCTGTGGAGTGTTGCTGTTTGGTCTCACTGTGCAAACAGGGTTGTCCACGCCACTCACTGAAGACTTGTCCAGGGACACAGCCCGAGCCTACAGCTGCTGCATGCAGAAACGGCCACAGACTGAACACAAGCAGTGAAGCCGGGGAAGTTCACGTGTCCCCGTGGAGGCTGTAGCTCGCGTGTCCCGTGTTGCTGTAGTTCACGTGTCCCGTGTTGCTGTAGCTCGCGTGTCCCGTGTTGCTGTAGCTCACGTGTCCCGTGTTACTGTAGCTCGCGTGTCCCGTGGTGGCTGTAGCTCACGTGTCTCCGTGGTGGCTGTAGCTCATGTGTCCTGTGTTGCTGTAGCTCGCGTGTCCCGTGGTGGCTGTAGCTCACATGTCCCGTGTTGCTGTAGCTCACATGTCCTGTGTTACTGTAGCTCACGTGTCCCGTGTTACTGTAGCTCACGTGTCCCGTGTTGCTGTAGCTCGCGTGTCCCGTGTTGCTGGTGCTGGTGTCCTCAGGGAGAGCACATTCCCAGGATGACTGGTAATCAGATTTCTTCTAAAAGTTGGGCCAGCTAATTTTGGTGTGCGTGTGGCGGAACTACTAAAACCTAACTCTCCTCGCTTCTCGTAACTTACTTGGTTGGCTCCAGAGAGAAGTAATTGTGATTCAAGCACCCAGGAGCCACAGGGAGGCTGGCACAGGTGGCCACACTGACCTGAAACGTGCCCCAGACGCAGGTTTTCACCCAAGCAATTAGAAAGTGGCTTTTCCTGGTGACACACTGGCGCTGGCCAGTTCACACAGGCAGCTGGTGACAACCTTGGCTTCAGGTATAAGGCACCAGTTAAAGGCCTCACGTGAACTGAGAGCTAGACCGTCTGCGGTGGTCAGTGCCTGCCTTATTCTGGGAGCCAGTCACACACGCATTGATGGAAGCCCATTCACAGGTGGATTCTGTGCATCGTACGCAAAGGAAAGCTATCTACACCTGACACAACACTTGCAACTTCAATCATTTAAGAGCAATTCATGACTGTTATCCTGGTCCTACTATTCATGTATCACGAACACTTTAGGTTGAGCCAAACCTCCAAGTCAGCATTTTCAAACATAACACACGATGAATCTGGTTATTTTTACATCTGTAACGCCAGTGCCAGTACTGGCAGGATCATGGTCTGAGGTCCTGAGCTATACAGCGAGAATAAACCCAGCCAAAACCAGCTGAAAACTAAAACCATTTACACAGCGCCAAGTGGCGAAGTGCACCATGTGTTACTCCTAATGTGTATGACATGTGATTCCAGATGTGTTTCTACATGAGCTTCCCAACATGTCAACACATGGTCCTGACGTGTCACCACGTCCTGGCATTGCACTAAGTGCCTGTGTTTAGTGTATTAACGTTGAGCACGTGTCTGTTAAGTATTGTATTTATTTTTGTTGAGACCATGTTTGCTTAGTAACTTTACCTTTGTTGAGCTCATACATTTGTTTGGTGTATTTATGTTATGCTCATGTGTTTGTTAAGTAGTATATTTATGTTGAGCTCATGTTTGTTAAGTGGTGCATTTATGTTGGAGTCACAAATTTAGTCATTTATGTTGGGCTCACATGTTTAGTATATTTGTGTTGAGTGCATGTGTTAAGTAGTGTATTTATGTTGAGGTCATGTATATTCACATACGTTGACACATGTGTTTGTTGTGTAGTGTGTTTATGTTGAGCACATGTGTTTGCTGGTTTAGTACATTTATGTTGAGCGCATGGTTTGTTAAGTAGTGTATTTGACGTCACGTGTTTAGTATATTCACATATGTTGAACACATGTGTTTTTTGTGTAGTGTTTGAGTGCATGTATTTAGTATATTCATTTATGTTGAGTGCATGTGTCTGCTGGTTTAGTACATTCATTTATGTTGAGCGCATGGTTTGTTAAGTAGGGTATTTATTTACCATTACAGACTCCCTGCTTATCTCACCTTCTTTTTAATTTTCTCCTCCCACCCTGTCTTGAGATCAGGTATTTATGATAGTTTCAACTCAACTATTCTAAATAAATATAATTTTGCAAGATCATGCTTGAAAATAGTGTGTTTTGAGCCAGGCACTGGTGGCTCACGCCTGTCATCCTAGCTACTCAGGAGGCTGAGATCTGAGGATCGCGGTTCAAAGCCAGCCTGGGCAGGAAAGTCTGAGAGACTCTTTTCTCCAATTTGTCAACTGGGAGCTGTGTCTCAAGTATCAGAGCACCAACCGTGAGCAAAAATGCTAAAGGAGTCAGAAGCTGGTGGCTCACCCCTGTCATCCTAGCTACTCAGGAGGCTGAGATCCAGGATCATGGTTCAAAGCCAGTCTGGGCAAGAAAGTCCATGAAACTCTTATCTCCAATAAAACGGAAAACTGCAAGTGGCTCTGTGGTTCAAGTGGTAGAGCGCTAGCCTTGAGCTGAAGAGCTGAGGGACAGCGCCCAGGCCCAGAGCTCAAGCCCAACAACCAACAAAAAAAAAAAGGAAAAACAAAAAGCTAAGTGATAGCACTCAGGACCTGAGTTCAAGCCCCAGTATCAGCACAAAAAATATACTGTTTAATGAAAGAACTCATGTAATACTGTTTAAAACACCAATTGTTGGATATAATTTAACAACTATAAAATTTAAATTTAAAACCTTCAAAAGCAGGTATTTATTATAACTTCCTGTGCTTA